AGATAAAGTTACTCATTTACAGATGAATGACATGTACAGGCTCAGCAGTTCTCGTTGTACAGTCTGACAGCAGCAGGAAGGAAAGACCTGCGGAACCTCTCCTTCACGCAGCGATGGTGAATAAGTCTGTCCCTGAAGCTGCTCTCCATATCCATACTGCCTTCATTTGTGCACTATCTAGAGTGGTTATGTGTCTGTTTACTCTGGTCTATCTAACGTCCAGTAGTTTGAATGAATGAATGAACTCACACTTGTATGTGTTCTGTTCTTGGTTGTGTGGATTTGGCTTTAGGCCTGTGCAGAAATTCCACAACACATTTGACAGATTGATAGAGTAGACATTTCGGGAGGTCTTGTTGTTGTGTAGTGACACATGTGAAACCTGATCGAGGAAACCGGGGGAAAAAAAGTCATGAACCATTTCCTCTACAGCGACTTTGCAATCCTCCCAAAAAACCCAGCAACGCCCTGATAAAAAAGACACTGCTCGCTTACAAAAGTATGCACCATATTTTCCCTTCAACAAAAAAATGTCCACTTGATGTTTGTCCAAGTCCGTGAAAAGGCCGGTCCAGGAAATGTGCTTTTGATGGGATTTTGGACGGTACGGGCATTTTATGAAACAGCGTTGTCTGTGTGCGCACTGGCTCTCTCGCTCTCTCTCTCTGGTCTCTCTCTCTCTATGGTCTCTCTCTCTGGTCTATGGTCTCTCTCCCTCTCTGGTCTCTCTCTCTGGTGTCTGGTCTCTCTCTCTGGTCTCTCTCTCTCTGGTCTCTCTCTCTGGTCTCTCTCTGGTCTATGGTCTCTCTCCCTCTCTGGTCTCTCTCTCTGGTGTCTGGTCTCTCTCTCTATGGTCTCTCTCTCTGGTCTATGGTCTCTCTCCCTCTCTGGTCTCTCTCTCTGGTGTCTGGTCTCTCTCTCTGGTCTCTCTCTCTCTGGTCTCTCTCTCTCTCTCTGGTCCCTCTCTGGTCTCTCTCCCTCTCTGATCTCTCTCTCTGGTCTCTCTCTGGTCTCTCCCTCTCTGGTCTCCCTCTCTGGTCTCTCTCTCTGGTCTCTCTCTCTGGTCTCTCTCCCTCTGGTCTCTCTCCCTCTGGTCTCTCTCTCTCTCTCTCTGGTCTCTCTCTCTCTCTGGTCTCTCTCTCTCTCTGGTCTCTCTCCCTCTCTGGTCTCCCTCTCTGGTCTCTCTCCCTCTCTGATCTCTGATCTCTCTCTCTCTCTCTCTCTCTCTCTCTCTCTCTCTCTCTCTCTGATCTCTCTCTCTCTCTCTCTCTGATCTCTCTCTCTCTCTCTCTGATCTCTCTCTCTCTCTCTCTCTGATCTCTCTCTCTCTCTGATCTCTCTCCCTCTCTGGTCTCCCTCTCTGGTCTCTCTCTCTCTCTGATCTCTCTCTCTCTCTCTCTCTGATCTCTCTCTCTCTCTCTCTCTCTCTCTGATCTCTCTCTCTCTCTCTCTCTGATCTCTCTCTCTCTCTGATCTCTCTCCCTCTCTGGTCTCCCTCTCTGGTCTCTCTCCCTCTCTGATCTCTCTCTCTCTCTCTCTTTCTCTCTCTCTCTCTCTCTCTCTGATCTCTCTCTCTGATCTCTCTGATCTCTCTCTCTCTCTCTCTCTGATCTCTCTCTCTGGTCTCTCTCTGGTCTCTCTCTCAGTTCTTTTAACAGCTGTGCCTTATCAGATTTTAGGACTACCACTCTTCTACTCAGTCCACCTACACAGACCCTCCCCTCACTTCCTCTTGGGCGGGTTCCCATTCATTCTCATTGACCTCCCAGTGTGTGGCAATCCTTCCATGTGTTTCTGAAGTCCGGACACCAGCAGCTCGCCTGGCACCTGACCTTGTGTCTGGGTTTGGGTTGCAAGTGACCAAAGAGAACTCGGTTGATTAAAAGTCACGGGGAATTTTTTTAATTATTATTCAATGTATTCTTGTATGGCCCGAAATCACAACAGTAGGTATCTCAGAGGACAAAACCGTTGAAATGAAGTTGACAAGATGCGGTACTGTTTAAAATGAGACAGTAGGGGGCAGTAATAATTTGCACTTTCTCTGTATTTCCCTGTGAGTTCTGTTCGTGTGTTCATGTCCAAGTGATTTTCGTGTCTGTCAGTTAAAAAACAATACATTTCCTGAAAATTCTAAAAAATCTATGATTCCCATTGCCATATGACGTCACAATATGCAAATTAGATGGGTTGATTTAATCCCTACACACACTTTGGGTCATCCTTAATATTTCTCTAATTTGGTCCTTGTTTTCAAAAGAGTTTGGTAGTTTTCACATCTAGTTTCACATACAAGTAGCAAATTAGGTGGGTCGATTTAATCCCTACACACACTTAAGGTCTTCTTTAATATTTCTCTAATTTACAGAAAGCCTCTATCTCTTATCACATTTTAGTTATAGCCATTGATTTTTTTAGAATTAATATCAAAATCAAGCGTTTTAGGAAAAAACCTCCTGCGCTTAAAGGGGCCAAATGTCACTTAAAACACGTAAATAACTTGCTAAACGGTGCTATACATGTAAAAAGCGCTATTTCCACACGCAAACCTGAAACCTGGGTCTCCACATGTCAAGTTGAACATACATGACCCTCCCCCAGCCCCCGACTCACCCCTCATTCCAGTCTCCAGCGCCACTTCCTGCCTCTCATGGACCCTCTCTATTTTCTCAGTCTCAAATGCAGCCCCCTTACACATCTCCCATTACATTTTTTTTTTACCTTTCTTACTCACCAAATCTGTGTTTTTCTCTCCCTCCCCCACATCCTTCTGCCATCTGAAAGAACAGACACGTGAGTCAACAACCAATCAGACTGCCATTTTTCTAATCTATACTATTATATACTTCATGACATCACTTCTTTGTCTCATGATCCAGAAATCCCCACATTTCGAGGCCCAGAAAATGCCTGTAAAGCTCTTTCTAACCCACACTGATGACTGATTACAACATATGGTGAATACGTCGTTATGTAATGGCTTGATTTGCCTTTTTTATACTCCCACTTTTAATTAATATGATTTTTTGACATAAAAAAGGCATTAGAAATAAAGGACAAGGTTACGAAAACAATTTAGCTTCTGTCAGTAATGCACATGCTTTAACATAGATATACAAACACATATTTTTGCCTATAATCCAATTCATAAAGTAAAGTCTCCAAAGTTTGGGGCAAAACCCTTTCAAAACAGTAGCCAAAATAAATTTCAAGATCAGGAGAAAAAATAAAAAAAATCGGACAAAAAGGAGAAACAGCATTGACTTCCAGCCGTTTTTGATGATTTCACTGATTCTCAAGACCCACAGAATATTATTTCCTAAGACTTTGTGAAATATGAAACCAGATTCTGAAAGACTGGAGTGTCTACTTTGATCAGCAAAAATAAGTTTGCTTCTAGCTGTTTTTAACGTCCTGTAATCCCCAGTTGAAAAGAGGGTCTCAGACTAATACGTCAATGGCAGTCAAGGAGTTAAAAAAACAAAAAAGAAACTAGTAATCTGTCTTATTAGAAATGTAGGAGAGCTGCCAGACCCATCATTCTTGGGCTTGGTATTTTTCTATAATATTATGTTTAATATTATTTTTAAATGATGTCAATGTGTAGGAGTATTATACTATGGGTTAATAGACTAGACTAGACTAGAGCAGACAGATATAAGTCTTCAGCTTTTGGCTAAGGAGAAACTTAAGTCTGAAAATGTACATAAATCGTGAGACCGTGGCAACTATTCAACATTTTTTTTCTGCTATATTAAACAAAGGCCTTCGCTGCCTCTTTACATTATAATCAAGAGGCCAGGCTGCGGTGTGGCTTGGCTCCCATAGATTCATGCTTGGCTCATGAAACCAAAACGATAGAGATTTGGATCTAGGATAGTTTCATAGAATACCATTTCAAATCCCCAAAGACATTTATTCCCGGGCTTTAACACTGGGTCCTAAAGATTCAGTGCAGTACATACATGTTGTAAATGCAAAACAGCTGCTGCAAGTCTCATCTTTGACCACTAGGGGCCGCTGCTGGACTGCTGCAGTGCCCAGACAGATGTTATGCGTTTCTCAGAGAGGGTTTTAATGGTTTCACTTACATGTCAGGTCCACTTAGCCACAAAACGGTGAAGTTAGTGGCTTCGAGCGCTTGTATCTGGGTGGCTTTTTTTATAAGAGCAAAGTTTGGACATCAATCTTTCTATGGATGAAGAATAGAGAGGTGATGGTAACAAATTGGGAGATAGCAATACACAAAAAACCCCACATTAAAAGCCAACGAGTGCATAGTTTATTCCTTGATTTCAAAAGAGTTTGGTTTGAGTTTTCCCACACAATAGCTTGAATACAATATAAAAACACAAAAATAATTATTGGGTTTTTAATACTATAAATGTGCGGTTATTTACAAAAACAACAACAAATAGGCCCTTAATGTCTTATTCCAGTTGGGTCTCAGGCCTAATCATTATAATAATAATAATACATTTTATTTCTTAGGCGCCTTTTTAGACACTCAAGGTCCCCTACATCACAAGTAAAAAGTATATTTGGTTAAAATACAGGTGAAAACACAAGTTAAAATACAGCTAAAATATAGTTGAAAGCAGCTAGAACAGAGGATTTATTGACAATACACAAAAACATGTATTTTTTGTATAAAAGGAAGTATCTACAAGATTTTTGGGAATACAGACACACTTAAAACTAAATTATAAAGTAAGGCTACAAAATATTCTAGTTGGGAATTTATTTAATATGTCCAGAAACACAGATATTACCTACTATTAGGTAATTTTATGTTGAACTGTATAATATGGACCGCTTGTGTTGAGTCCAAGCTAAAAAAATAAAAAGTCCAGTTAAAAACCAATATCAATAATAATAATAATAATCTATCCAATCAGAGGCGAGTATAGCCCCGCTCCCTCCTGGATGTGACCAATGAGCGTGCAGCAGGTCTAACAACAGAACTACCCCATGCTCCAAGTGCACAGAGAGCACCACCCATGGCTCCACCCATGGCTCCACCCATGGCTCCACCCCACAGTCCTCAGCCCCCTCAGCCCCGGAGCGGAGGGAGGACCTATGGGCTGGACCTATGGGGTGGACCCGTGCTGGACCGGGCTAAAGAAAACAAGTAAAGTCACACTACCCCTGGCCATGTTATTGGAGGTGTTTCTAGGCATGGGCAGAGTTTAACCCGCGGGAATGATAAGCGGGAAGATGAGTAAGGTAAGAACGGAGGAGTTGGAGGTGTTACTGAAGAGCTACGCTGTGACTAACGCGGTGTGTGTGGAGTGGATGATGCTGGGTGTATTGCGTACTTTACTATGAACTGTTTTAATGAATATTTAAAGGCTCTTCATGTGCGTTGTCAATGCTCTTTGCGATTTTAATTGTATTTTTAATGTCTCTGTAGATTTTAACGCTTATATTTTATGCCTGATGTGATGTTGGTTGTGAGGGGCTGTGTGTTGCCTTGTGTAGGGAAGGATTTTTACAATTTTAAAATGTTTGAAGTTATATTTTTTCAGTTTTTATCCAGATTTTCCCAAATGTTAGGAAAGAACTACCTTCTCCACTTTTGGAAAAAAAAAAACTCCGGTCTTATTTTAGGGGCACGTGTCCCCAGAATGATTGACAATTAAAGGACCAATAGTCTTCATGATCCACCCGGAAGTAGAAAATCCGGCTCTATACCGTTTAATTCAACTTAACGCTTGAGTATTTTTAATTAGCTCGTCTTTGTGGCTTATTTTCATGTCGGGTTGTGGTTCTTGGCTGTAAATTTGACTGGAAAGCGTCATCTCGGTGGATTTTGAGACGCCTAAATGGGTCTTACCAACACGTGTGCGTAGAAAAGTGTTGGTCATATGATGCTGTAAGCCTCTCCATCAGCCGCGGTCGCTTCGTGACGTCACGTCACGAAGTCACGCTCCCAAAGAATGTTCCAGTTTTTTATTTTTATTTTGCGGCTCTGACGTGAAGCGAGCGTCAGGTGAATTTATAACTGCAGAGAATGTGTTGTGGTGTACATTTAAAAAAAGGAACATTTTGTGTGTGTGTGTGTGTGTGTGTGCGTGTGTGTGACTGAAAACAACTTTTATTTTACATAATATATCTGGCACAAAAGAGACTATATAAATGTTTTAACCTTTTTAATATGTTTTCACGCTTCCTGTCTTTTGCACAACCTGATTCTATCCAAGCCAAAAAATGACATTACATTTCTCCATCCAAGTTTATCTTATCTTTATCACATTTAAAGGTGTACAGGAGGATTTTCCCACATTTTTGGAAAGAATCGCTCTCTTCGCTCTTTGAAAAAAAAAAAATTCTGGTCTTATTGGACGAAGCACGTATCACCAGAATGATTGATAATGGGCCAATAGTCTTGATGATCCACCCGGAAGGAGAAAATCTTCCTATATACCTTTTTAAAACACTTATTTTAGACAAGGCAAGGTTATTTGTTCAATTCATACACAACTCTTTAAAGTGCTTAAAAGTATAGAGGTATAGACTTCCATATAGACTTCCATATAGACTTATATATAGACTTGTATATGTATAATGTACTGTGATTATTTATGATTTGAATGCCTTTTCGTTTGAGTTGCCTTGTGTATGTTATGTTTTATACAAATAAACTTGCCTTTCCTTCATTGGGCTAAGGCTATATCTACCTTTAGTTCAACCTCTGATTTGCAACATATTTCTAATGAAGTACCTCACCTTTTGTTAACACTTTATTGTTAATTTAAAGCGAACCCATAACTTTAGAGGTGATCAATTTAATCATTATTTTTGTGTTCATTTAAAACAAAACCAACAAAATAATCCCCATTTTCGGTAGACACTCAAACTCCCGTCAGAAAGGCCCTGACCAGGATGTGAATTTACAAATACACAAAGAAGTGATTGATCGGAGGCTTCGAGGCTCCAGTGTGTTCGGCGTTCGGAATTATCTGATTTATGAATATTGTAAAGCGCTTTGTGGGACCTTGGTCTGTAAAATGCGCTATATCAATAACCCCTACTACTTCCTGGATTCTGGTCACTACACGTCTGGCAGCCGCAATCGAACCAACTCTTGTGAGAATCTAACGTTGTAGTTATTGTTGGCTCCACCACACGATTCCTTGTCAGTTCTGTATCCTGCTTCTTAAAATAAAATTAGAAATGTGTGCGTCAGCAGCCAGATAACATTGTCCAGCAGCTGCAACCTTCCCCTTTAAGATACATGTGTCCATTAAAGCATTTCAATCATCAAGTGACTTTTCTTGAGAATATGAGCGGGATTTGAGCTGATGGTTTTGACTTGGTGGGAAAGTGTCTGCAGGATGTTCTAGGATGAAGACAGTTTTTCAGTTTCGTAACCCTCGGACAGGTTTTCCACATCCAATTAGCCGCTGTTTGGCCACTAGCTCACATATGGAAGCTGTTACATAAACACATTCTGAAAATCTGGGAGCTCCACATTCCCGAGTTACACTTCAGGGTCCCTCGCATCAGGACCCTGGGTGTTCAGCTGTGGAAGTGACAGATTGAAATGACCTCAGAAGTGCCCTGCTATAATTCTGCTTTGACTTTTCTCTTCATTTGACCATGTTTTATTGATTGATTTGAATCGGCACAGTTTTTATTGTTGACTAAAAACATGCTCTGGCTATCATTTAGTCAACTGTAAAGGGGGCGTGGGAACTGAAAAATGGGGCATGTCGCCACGCCCCCTTTTTAGTTGATCTGCCGACATGCCCCATTTTTTGACTGAAAAAGGGAGCGTGGCAACAGAAAAGGGGGCGTGGTGACTAAGAAAGGGGGCGTGGTGACTAAAAAGGGGCGTGTTGACTGAAAAAGGGGGCGTGGCGACTAAAAATGAGGTGTGGTGACTGAAAAAAGGTGGTGTGTTGACTAAAAAAGGGGCGTGGTGACTGAAAAAGGGGGCGTGGTGACTGAAAAAGGGGGCGTGGCGACTAAAAATGAGGTGTGGTGACTGAAAAAAGGTGGTGTGTTGACTAAAAAAGGGGCGTGGTGACTGAAAAATGGGGCGTGTCGACTGTAAAAGGGGGCGTGGTGACTAAAAAGGGGGTGTGGCAAAAGCTCTAAACATGATTACTCGATAGAAGACTTGTTTTTCACGTAAAAGTAATTATCACTCACTTAATTCAATAATAGTGAAAATATACTGGATATACAAACTGTCAGGGAAGATGACAGTCCTATATTTATGTAAGAAGACAATATTTAAAAGCAATATTTAGATTTTCCATCTCTGTCCCAATGATACTGCAGCCTCCTTCATCAGCACTGACTATTGTGAAGTAATTGATTCAGTTTTAGATTCAGATTCATTTTGTTTGTTTGTTTGGCGGCACGGTGGCTGAGTGGATAGCACTCTCGCCTCTCAGCAAGAAGGTCCTGGGTTCGAATCCCGGCCGGACCAGGGCCTTTCTGAGTGGAGTTTGCATGTTCTCCCTGTGTCTGCGTAGGTTTCCTCCGGGTACTCCGGTTTCCCCTACCACTAAAAATATGTACAATAGGTCTGGCATGCGCCTCCTGTTCGGCGACCCCGCTCCCATCTCTGTGTGGAGTGAGGGGACAAGTGCCCCAAAAATAACAATTGTAAACCGCTTTGTGACTCTGGTCTGTGAAAGGCGGTATATAAATAAAGCTTACTTACTTATTTACTACTTGTTTCCTATTTGCAGTAAAACCACATTGGAATACATGTGTATACTTAAAGCTCAAAGATTAAAACATACCTTTTTTCTTTTATTTGTAGCTAGCTATATAAATATCATAGCTACGATTAATATCAAATATGTCCTAAAAGAAGGATTACTTTGTTAGATTTGATATTTATTGTCTTCTTCTGGATTTTGGCCCCTGTTTGTAATCTATAGTCCCATTTCATCTGTATAAAATGGATTAAGTCAATGTCATGGCTAAACTTTACTTCATTCTACAGTTGATTCTCTCTGGGCAGGCCTCATCATGGATCTATGGTGTTTGAGAGGCACAAAAGTAGTTTCTAGTATTAGTAGTAAGTACTTTATAACAGTGTAATCTTGTAATAATGAAAAATATGTTTGTAAAATGCTCAAATAAATAACTATCAATCAGTCAATCAATTTATATAGTGCATTTTTACAAACCCTATGTTGAGAGTTAATATTGTTGTTTTTTGCTGTTTTTCTGAACTACAGTACAGACCAAAAGTTTGGACACACCTCATTCAAAGAGTTTTTTTATTTTCATGATTATAAAAATACTGAAGGCATCAAACCTATAAATGAACTCATGTGGATTTATGTACGTACGTATGAAAAAAGTATGAAACAACTGAAAACATGTGTTATTTTCCGGTTCTTCAAAGTAGCTCTTTTTGCTCTGATACTGCTTCACTCTTGGCATTCTCTAGATGAGCTTCAAGAGGACCTGAAATGGTCTCCAACAGTCTTGAAGGAGTTCCCATGATGCTTAGCACTTGTTGGCCCCTTCACTCTGTGGTCCAGCCCCAAAACCATCTGGACTGGGTTCAGGTCCAAAACCATCTGGACTGGGTTCAGGTCCGGTGACTGTGGAGGTCATGTGAACCAGCACCATCACTCTCCTTATCGGCCAAACAGCCCTTACACAGCCTGGTGCGGGTCTACAGGCAATAGTCATGAAAAGAAGTGAAACTCTTGAATCAGAAAGTGTGTGTCCAAACTTTTGGTCTATACTGTATATTTGTACATCTCTAGTCCTCTGCATTTAAACCAGGCTGACTCCCATGACGCGGAGTCCCCATACAACACAACAACAAGTGCACTATAACTTAATGGCAGCCGTATGATGTCATGGGGCCTCCAGTGTGCATGATGGGTTACTGACACAAAACAGATGGGCAGTTTAACCAGCAAATATGAAAAACAGTGAGAAGCCTGTGTGTGTGTGAACAAGAGGTGCGTATGTAGATGTGGAGGGAGCGGAAGTGCAGCCCTGACCTCAGCGCAGGAACAGACCCACTGTGTTCTGTAACCTGTCCCACCCTTGGACACATGTGACACACACTGGCCTCGGTCCAGTCTCTGATGAAGGAAGTCAGATAGGAGGCTGTGCTGGTCCTAAACGCTGCTTATATTGATGTTGTACATGTGCGGTGTTTCCAACATTAAGCCGTGCAAGAGGTTTATTCAATGTCACAGCCGTAGTAACGATAGTTGCAGATTTTTGGATCTTATATT